ATGGAAGAGTGCGCATTCCCTGCGGACCGGTCATACCCGCCGTGTGCTCCTTGTCATGATCGAGGAAAAAAACCAAGAAAAATCCGTAGACATGTTGTTTGTGCAGACAAAGTCATTGTATCGACCATAAAACTTGCAAAATGATAACTTCAAACGAGACTGTTGATATCCTTGTTCCATCAACTTGTTTATAAATAGCTTGCCTCATTTTAGAAATTGTTCATGCGTAGAGCATGCTCTTACGTATCAAATCAACTGAGAGACATAAACCCCATATGCAGGTGATAGGGGTATATTGCTGCATAAGTAAGGGAAGTTGACGATTGAAAAGTTGGAGTCATCACGTTTATCATAAAGCTTTGTTGTTAGGTTATCATTAACGTCTTTTTCTAGTAAAATATCTAAATATGAAACAGATCTGTCAGACTCTGTGAGTTAAAATCAAAAATCAAAAATGTCAGAAAAGGGTTCAGTCTTGTATTCCACCATATATCAAGTTTAATACATCGGCTATTGCTTCCAAACGTTTTAGTTACAAAACTCTACAGTGCCCAAATATCGAACATCTGAAACATAATCCTCCTACGTGTTCATGTTCTTCTTCACTCCAAAAATGTAGTCCCGCTGGACACTTCATTACTGGTGACGTAAATATAGTTAATAATGAGGACCTCAGATCACTTATTTTACTGCCAAATTTCTCTGTCGTCAACTTCCCTTATTTATATAGCAATTCACAATTGTCACCTGCATATGGAGTTTATGTCTCCAAGTTGATTCAATACGCAAGAGCATGCTCTACGTGCTTCTGAAGTTTCTCCTTCACTGCTGTTAATATTTTAGGGAGGAGTAAAGAGGCTTTGTAGAACATTTACTGGAACCCGCTATGTATCTTTGTTTGTAAGGATTTTTATGAAGTTTCGGAATCCAATATAAATACGGTAATTCGAATTCATTTTGGTTGTTTGGAATATTAAAAATATTCAAAACTGACATATGATTTTGAAGAATTTCTTCCTTAGAAAGGGAACTATGAGTATAAGTTGGATTACCACTTGTAGAATTAAATCCAAGTTCCTCTAAAATACATTCAATATAATGAGCCTTACAAACAAAGACAATGTTGTTACCTGCTTTGTCAGCAGGGACCAGTACATACTGATCGTGTAGTCTATCTAATTCTATCTTCACTTCTAAATTATTGAACACAGAATGATAGATGGTTTTCATATTGCCCTTCAATCGCTTATTGCGAGATTTTAACATACATCTGATACATTTAATCCATTATGACAAAGTGTCAAGGTCTAAGAATATTACTTATATTAAACGCGTCAATTCCTTTGTTGGCATATTGAAGTTTATGGAAAAAATGGTTGGTTTAGCCAGAGTTGGGGTCAATTACTTTGAAATGTAATTAAATACTTTCAAATACATTGACCGTTCACGGTAGCTCAGTCGGTAGAGCGCTCGTTCGTGATCGGGAGGTCGTGAGTTCGAATATCGGGCGCGACTGACCTAAGTCGATAAATCGATAAAAAATATGGGTAGCAACTGTCCCTTCGCCATGCGCTCGGCACTTTGGAGTGGAAATTGCGGGTCCTTCGGATGAAATGAAATATATGGAGATAACAAACAGTATTCAAGCTCACAAGTCCATTATACAATACAAAATAGGAGCAGAGCAAACACGGACCTCCAAACATCAGAGGTGGGATCAGGTGCCATGGAGGAGTGAACATCCCCTGCCGACCGGTCACACCCGCCGTGTGCTCCTTGTCATGATCGGGAAATAACGGAAAAATCCGTCGACAATTCAGTGTGTAAATAATGGCCTAACAATTAGTATGAAAAACGTCAGTCAGCATTTGACTCAATGATAAATTGTATTTGCTGACAAGGTCATTGTATCGACCATAGAACTAAGGAAATGATGACTTTAAACGAGACAGCTGATATTCTTGTTTCATCAACTTATTTGTCAATAATTTACCTCGTTTTAGAAATTGTACATACGTAGAGCATGCTCTTGCGTATCGAATCAACTGAGAGATATATACCCCGTATGCAGGTGATGAAGGTATATAATTGCTGCATAAGTAAGGGAAGTTGACGATTGAAAAGTTAAAGTCATCACGTTTATCATAAAGCTTGGTTGTTAGATTACCATTAACGTCTTTTTCAAGTAAAATATCCAAATATGAAACAGATGTGTCAGACTCTGTGGTATCTTTTATCTCAAGTTCACCAGGATATATCGTATCGACATAAGAATGAAAATAGCCATTGTTAATTGACAATACGTCGTCGATATATCTAAATGTCGAGTTGAAGGCCACAGCAAGTGTTTTCTTCTTTTCACGTACAAGATTTTGGACAAATTCTGCTTCATATGAATACAAAAAAAGGTCTGCTAATAACGGGGCGCAATTGGTACCCATGGGAATTCCAATAGATTGTTGGAAGGCCTGGTCTCCAAAAACCACATAGATATTGTCAATCAGAAACTCAAGCATCTTTTTAATGTCAACTTCAGAGTACTTGTGTGTACAATCAGAATGTTTTTTAACAAAATAATTATGCAAATGACCTATGACAAGGTAAGTATATTTACGAGTTCCATTTTTATTGAAAAAGCAGCTGTCAATGATATCAAAAAGCCTGGACTTTAATTTATCGTGGGGAATTGTTGTGTATAAAGTTGAAAAGTCGTAAGTTTTTAAGCTGTTGATTTTGGTAAAATCTTGTGATTTCAAATTTTCCAAAAGTTCCTTGGAATTTTTAAGTATCCACATCTGATTTACACCACTTCTCGAATACATTGTTGCACAGTACTCTTGAAGTTTCTCCTTCACCACTGTTAATATCTTAGTGAGGAGTAAAGAAAGAGGCTTGGTTGAACATTTTCTGGAACCCGCTATGTATCTTTGTTTGTAAGGATTTTTATGAAGTTTCGGAATCCAATATAAATACGGTAATTCGAATTCATTTTGGTTGTTTGGAATATTAAAAATATTCAAAACTGACATATGATTTTGAAGAATTTCTTCCTTAGAAAGGGAACTATGAGTATAAGTTGGATTACCACTTGTAGAATTAAATCCAAGTTCCTCTAAAATACATTCAATATAATGAGCCTTACAAACAAAGACAATGTTGTTACCTGCTTTGTCAGCAGGGACCAGTACGTACTGATCATGTAATCTATCTAATTCTTTTTTCACTTCTGGATTATTGAATACAGAAGGATAGATGGTTTTCATATTGCCTCTCAATTTTTTAATGCGCGATTTTAATACACATCTGATACAATTAATCCATTCTGACAAAGTGTCAAGGTCTTCTTTTTCATGTCTGGCCCATCGCCTGGTAGTCCTCTACAGAATCCTGTTTCATCAACTTGTTTGTCAATAATTTACCTCTCTTGCTCTTGCGTATCGAATCAACTGAGAGATATATACCCAGTATGCCGGTGATGAAGGTATATTGCTGCATAAGTAAGGGAAGTTGACGATTGAAAAGTTAAAGTCATCACGTTTATCATAAAGCTTGGTTGTTAGATTACCATTAACGTCTTTTTCAAGTAAAATATCCAAATATGAAACAGATGTGTCAGACTCTGTGGCATCTTTATCTCAAGCTTACAAGGATATATCGTATCGACATAAGAATGGAAATAGTCATTGATAAAACACCTACTTTTAATGTGTAACTTGAAAAATTAAGTATTTGAAATGTAATTGAAATGTAATTGAAAAATGCATGACATTTTTGGAATGTATTTAACTACATTCAATTACTTGTAATCGAAAGGAAACTCAATTACGAATACTTTCAATTACTTTTGAAAAAAATGTATTTAAAAAAAGTAAATTACAATTACTCATTTCAATTACCCCATCTCTGGTTTTAGCTGTATTTACTTCCATAAAACGTGGCGGTTTAAAAAGCCTACGAATTGCAATATCCATAACCACAGATCCGAGCATGTATTCTGGTGTCGAGGAATCCGAATATAGACTTTCCTTAACCTTTTCAGGTAGACTATTTAAAAGTTTCAAAGGGACAGAGGAAGGTTTGGAGCGAATGTGATGAAGACCTAACTGTTGATTTACATAAAGTAGTAATAAATCAAAGGAGGCATCGTGTATAAAAGATTTATTGTAAGACCGATGCCCATGACTACGCTTAACTCTCTGAAAATGGTTAAAAAGTTCCATCACATTAACATTGCTACACTGTGGACTGGAAAGATTCCCAACACTATCGACATCGTCATTGCATCCATATGGAAAGGCGGTGCTTAGTTTTCTAATCCAATATTCTTCTCATAGTCTTTGGAAAGCTGTACTCAATGATGGACTATTTGTGTGATGAGAAATCTTTTCTAGAATTAACTTTCATATATATATATATATATATATATATATATATATATATATATATATATATATATATATATATATATATATATATATACCTCGGGAAATAGTTGCTGTCATGGGGGACGATGAACGTAAAACTTGAAAGACATCACAGATGAGTAGACACACTTCGATCAGAAAAGTCCACTTAAGCCCTTTGCTTAAGTGAGTGTTAAAACTCAATTTGTGTAAAAATTAATTTCTCTACTTTTCTGGAAGAAGCTGTATGTAGGTCTGACAATATTGTTTTATACAATATAATCTGACTACTAGCTGACTGTTTGGAAAATTCATGACTTTTCACAAATATAAAATGCAAAAAAATTGTATCATTAGAATCTGTAGGACATATAATTTAATTTGTTGATACCCATCAAAATAAAGCAGGATTTTGTAAACAAACATTTCAAATCGACCCACTATCAAATATGTGCAATCTATAATTGCATAATAAACATTCGATATGCGATAAACAAACATCAGCATAGAACTTCTTGTTTGATATCGCATATCAAAGTCCATCAAGAAGTTTTAAACAAGCAGACTTAAATATATCAAATCTGATGATTGCACAAAATGACGGGCCGGGTAATAATCGTCACTGGAGCTAATTCTGGGATTGGGTTTGAAGCGGCAAGAACACTATGTGAAGCCGGAAATGACGTTATTCTTGCCTGTAGAAATGAAGAAAATGGTAAAGCCGCAGTCGAAAAAATTCTGCAAGAAAACCCGAAAGCTCTGGCAACATTTCTCCAGGTAAAGCAGAAAGTCAAAGTGCCATGCCGTAATACATTTACTTATTTCTTCTAAAGTGAAAGTAAAAGTGCCATACCGTAATACATATACTTGACTGAAGTGATATATTTTACTGTCTATTAAATATGTTCAAATTAATTTGAAGACAATGCATTTTTGAAATTAACTCTAAATGTATTATATTAAGCTTGTGCGATATTTGGATAAAATTAATTTTGAACATGTTAGCGTTGATTTAGCACAATTCTAAATGATTATACAAATTATATTTTTATTCAAGACATTTAAAGATGCATTTGATGTAGCAAACTCTGGTTTTGCCAAAAGCGATGGTTAGAATATACAGCCAAATTAATAAGTTTACAACATATCCATATGTTCTAGATATAATTTAGATGCTGCATGAAATATGACGTAAACAATAAATTAAAATTATCAATTAATTGTTTATTTTGATGTAATTTTGCAGTTAGATTTGGCAGATCTGGCTTCTATTCGGAAGTTTGTGGAAGACTTCCATGCAGTTAGGAAAAATCTAAACGTCCTCGTCAATGATGCTGGCGTATTTCTCAATGCGAGCGATACAGTTAGAAAATTTACCAAGGATAACTTTGAACTGACCATGGGAACGAACTACTTAGGTATTACTGGGATTTGACTATGGGGACAAAATGTTGACAATTTTATATAGGCGAGGGAAATTTGAAGAACTCTCCGTAGTAGTATTCGATTCCACGAATCCACAGACAGAATATGTAGAATATAGAAAAATCAACGTCGATGAACATCTTGACATTTGCAGAATTGACCATTTCACCATTGTTCTCTTTTACAAACTTCTTATACACTTTTGAAAGAAGAGAAAAGGGAAAAAATATTCAATCTTCAAAACAAACATTGGCCATTTTATTATAAATTTATTGATGTATGTATAATTTAACATGTTTATATAATTTAACAGGTCCATGGTATTATAAATTTATTTATGTTTATATAATTTAACAAGTCCATTTTATTATAAATTTATAGATATTTAAATAATTTAACAGGTCCATTTTATTATAAGTTTATTGATGTTTAAATAATTTGACATGTCCATTTTATTATAATTTTATTGATGTTTATATAATTTAACATGTTTATATAATATAACAGGTCCATTTCTTCTTACCCATCTCCTTCTGGACGATTTGAAGAAAACAGCGAATGAAAATGGAGACAGTCGGATTGTGTTTGTAACATCATCTTTACACGACATAAACTTCAAATTTAACAGAGGTGGTGAGTATTTCACAACTCTGCAAAGTAAGGAGTCCCGATAGGGTCATTTGCAAAAGTTTAACAGCCCGCTAGTTACGCAAAGTGACAAGCGCAGCGTGTTTGTAACAACTCGCCAGCGCGAAGTGACAACGCCCAGCGCGTTTTCACGAACGCGCTGGCACGTTGTCACTTCGCGCCGACACGTTGTTACTAACGTAAATAAAATATGGAGATAACGAACAGTATTCCATCTCATAGTCCATTTAAACAATACAAACTATTGTAACTAATGCAACTAACGCGCTCTTACACTTTTGCTTATGCCCTATCGGGATACCATAGCAAAGCAACTGTAAATAATTTATAATATATGCAAGTTTGCAAAGAGTTTAATGAATTTTCTTAAAGACCTTTAAAAATACATAAATTTGATGTACATGTAAAAGGAATAAATGTGTCAATTTTCAGTGGTAGAACCTTTTGATCTTGAGAATTTCTTCCTGGAAAAGGATGCAACATATACTGGACGTCAAGCTTACAAGAACTCCAAGGTTGCCTTGGTGATGAATACATACTCCCTGGCCCGTAAATTGGAGGGAACAGGAATCAGTGTAAACTGCATGTGTCCAGGTATATGTACAGCTAGGGATCATTTATAGGTCGAAAGTCAGGTGTTAAGAAATAACTAGTACTTTGAAGAGTGATTGAACTTTTGGGTCTTTTGCGATTCCTCTTTCAAGCTGTACATGAAGTAAATCCAATTTTTAACAAATATTTTACAAATATTTATAATATTTAACAAACTTTAGCAAAAACCGATATATGCATGGTTAGGATTTTTTTTTAAAAATAAAAACTATGCCTTGTTGCCTAAATCAAAATTGGAATAACTTTTCGTTAGTGCGGCCGTCCGGAATTTGACATCTTACTGGACTGTTTTAAGGACAATAAATCAATATTAAAGAGGGCTATTGCCATACCCACACACACAGACTTTCTCTCTCCCTCTCCCTCTCTCTCTCTCAATATTATTTTAGCATAAAAACAATTTCAACTCACTGTACACAATAAAATGTTTGATTAAATATTTTTATTTTTATTTAAAGATTTTGAAAGAATATGACAAGAGCATATGATGCCCAATTTCGACGTAGAAATTTTAACTATTTTATCTTTTGAAAAATGATTTTTGTTTTTCATTCTAGTGACTGCAAAAATCAAGACTCTTTCAAGAAAATTCAGCTTTGTTTATTGTCTAACTAAACATGTATCACATTAAAATGTATTTGATTGATTGATTGTATGTTGTTTAACGTCCCATTCGAGAATTTTTCACTCATATAGAGACGTCACCATATACCGGTGAAGGGCTTCAAATTTTGACCTTTACTCGGCACTCAGGGCCATTGAGCAGTGAGGGGTCTTTATCGTGCCAATGCCTGCCGTGACATGGGGCCTCGGTTTTTAAGGTCTCATCCGAAGGACCCGCAACTTTCACTTCAAAGTGCCGAGCGCATGGCGAAGGAACAGTTGCTACCCATTTTTTATCGACTTAGGTCAGTCGCGGCCGAGATTCGAACTAACGACCTCCCGATCACGAAGCGAGCGCTCTACCGACTGAGCTACCGTGAACGGTTTAAAAGGTATTTGATAGTCCAGATAGAGGAAACAACTATAATGTTCTTTGAAAATGGTTATAGATTGTTTTGTACTTTTACGTTGAGTTGCCAGCTAATACAAAAGCTTTTTGTTTTTGTTTTAGTCAGTCTATTAATTTAAACAACAGAAAATGGAATGTGTACAGTATAAGTTTACAATCATGAAAATGATGTGAATATGAAATTATAAGACTGGTAAATATTGAAAATACAATCAAAACTATATCAAAGAAACTACAACAGATTAAAGATGCAAAATTTTGCAAATGACAGACTAACCAAATCTAAATTAGATCGAGATACGTATTAGAATAATAGTATTCAAAACAAACTTGAAGCAAGCAAACATTCGTTCTTGCTTAATTTTGCACAAAAAACGTATTCAATAGAAACTTGTCACTTCCATTGTAATTTACCGTTTAACCTTGAATTTAATTTAATTGACCCGTTAAATATGACAGTGGACAGCAGATTCAATCTACATATAGATTTAAGATCGTGTTTGGTTTGTCTGCTATTCGAAAAATTCAGCATTTTAATATGCTTTAGTTACTCTTTACTGATGTTTGTTCTCACAATAATTACTTGAGAAATCTAATTTCATTTTAGCATTGATGTATTGATTGTTAACTGATATCTTACACGTATTTCTATATCAGGTATTTTGATTAGCAGACTGTTTCAAAGAGCGACTGCGTTAGCTAGCAATCTCAAATTAATAAATCAAAAATATTTTAGAATTATTTTCAGATAATTACTCAATAACGTTTTAAAGTCTCAATATTAAGCTGGACGCTAGTTTTCAATTGACAGACCCTTAAATGAAGAGAAAATCATTTATAGAGGTGGGATCGATCAGGTGCCATGGAGTAGTAAGCATCCCACACCAATCGGTCACACCAGCTGTGTGCTCCTTGTCATGATCTGGTAAACAGAAAAAATCGTAGACAATTCAGTGTGAAAATAATGGCATAACAATTCGTTTGAAAGACATCAGTCAGCATCGATCCAATGACAGACTGTATTTGCAAATAAGGTTGTTGTATCGGCAGAGGAATTTTCGGAATGTTGACTTTGAAAAACTTTTTGATATCTTTGTATCATCAGCTTAATTGTCTATTGTTTGTTTGCCATCAATGTTTCTCCAGTAAAACATCTTAATACGAAGTAGATGTGTCAGACTCTGCAGTGTATTTCATTTCGGGACTTCATTTAATGTAGAAGTTTTTAATAAATTGCTGGGAACAATTGGTACTCATGGGAATTCCACAGATTTTTCGAAAACCTTATCTCCGAAAAGTGAATAGATATAGTCAGTAAGAAATTCAAGCTTCCTTTCAATATAAAGCTCGGAATACGTGTGTGTAGAGTCAGATATGGCTAGTTATTCAAATTTTCGAGTTTTATTTTAATTGAAGAAACAGTTGTATATGATGTCAAAGAGTCTGGTCTTTTATTTGTCATGGGAGAATGTTTGTATAAAGTGTTGAAAAGTTGCCATTGATTCTGGTAAAATTTTGCAATTTCAATTTTTCTAATGGTTCCTTGGGGTTGTAAGTATCCATATCTGAATAACACAAATTCTCTTATATGTCGTTGTACAGTATTCTAAAGTTTCTCCTTCGCTGCAGGTAATAATTTAGTGCGGAGTAAAGAAAGGCTTGGTAGAACACTTACTAGAACCGGCTTTTACATATACAACAATCTTGTTTAAAATCAGCATTTCGTAAATTCTATCGTCGTTATAATGACTTTATTAGCAAATACAACCTATCACAGGGTCGTATTTTGAATGACTTAATTCATATCAATTGTTATGCCTTGTTTTCATACTAAAATTGACTGATCAATATACAGGGCTCACTGTGGGTGTGACGGGTCGACAGGGGAGCCTTTCACCTCCTAAGCATCTGATCCCACCTCTGGAATTTCAGGGGTCTGTGTTTTATGCCATTTTGAAAGATTTGCATTGTTTGTAAGTTTTTTTGAGATCAATCACTGTTCGTAATCGTCATCTTTACCACTACGTATCTTTGTAAGGATTTTTAGGAAGTTTAGAAATCCAGTATAGGCATTGTAATTCAATTCAATTTGGTTGTTGAAAATATTAAAAATATTTAAAACTGATTTATTATATATCATGAAGAATTTCCTCCTTAGAAAGTTAACTATAAGTTAGATTACCAGTTGTAGAATTAAATCGAAGTTCCACTAAATTGCAATTGTGAGAATGAGCCCTACAAAGACTATGTTGTTACCTGCTTTATCAGCTTGGACCAGTACATATTGATAATGTAATCTATCTGCATAGGTTCATCCCTGTGTAAACAAACAAAGACATTCCATACATTAATGTCTTTAAATTGTTCATATAAACTGGATGAAATAACGTGAAATATTTAATTACCGATCCTTAAATTACATTATTTGGAGAACGATGATATAGCTGACATTTGAATCCAGATATAACAATTTATTAAAAGAAAATTGTTTATTGCTGCTTCCGATGAACAGCAATCGATTTTCATAAGAAATGAGAGAAAAAATATTCAGGCGATGTAAATATTTATAATTTTTTTTTTGTAGGTTTCATCCCATCTACGCAGCTGACCAGACATGCTTCATTATACTCCAGATTTAGGTTGAAATTTATAGTGGGGCCCATCTGCAAGCTCGCAAATATTTCAAGGACGGTGGACCATGGAGGCGAAATGATTAAGGAGCTGAGTGTCAATGAAAAATACAAAGGTTTTTTTGCATTTTGTTTAGTACTTTTTCAATGAATATTTAGATTCTAAATATTTTTGGATATGATTTCATATTATCATCATGAAGAATTGCTTGTTGTTTTTTTTTATTCAAACGTGGTTTGAAGCTTTCTTTTTCATCTTGCTTAATTATGTAAAAATAGAGCTGTTCTCACGTAGCTTTAGAAGTAAGAACTGTGCAGGTTTAGGTGTAAGTTAAGATAGAACTTACTTTTGTATCCTATAAAGGTACAACAAGTAACATTTTTCCTGCTTGTAAAGACAGACTACTTTTTGTATCCTGCAAAGGGACAACAAATTACATTCGTTCCTGAAATTTATTTTCAAAATTCCTTACTGACAGACAATTTTTCACTCAGATGTTTCAGGAAATTATTTCAAAGACTTTGAAGCCACGGAGTCGTCAGAGGAATCACGGAATGAAGAAGTCCAGGATCAACTGTACGAGTTATCTGCCCGTTACTGCCACCTAGAGGGCTACGAACCATTGGACGCCCCCGCCCCACTCCAACCACAGGAGGAACCCAAGACCCCAAGTAAGGAGGAGATCAAGGAGGAGAACGTTACAGAAGAGAATATGAAAACGGAAGCGGAAGAGAAAACTGATGTGAAGTAGGAAAACAAAATCAAGTTGAAGGAATTTAATGGTATTTGGTGTATATTATATATGCATAATATATATGTTATATAGAAAAAAATATTGGGAATACTAGTTGTTTTCTTCTTTGCCAAAGTAATTGAGATTTCTGATAATTACAAAAAAACATTACTGGATAACGGAAAATAAAGGTGATGAAAATGATGATAAATATAGAAATAAATTTATTAATAAAAAAGTTTTAAAGCAGGTTCATTTGGTGGTCCAGCAATTTCACTTTTCAAGTGTTTAGTGTTCAAGTATGGTCGTATGAGGTCTTTCAATAGTAATAATCATTTAATCTTTGTTTAACAAATTACTCCCGTAAAGTATGATACTTCACAATATTTCGAATTTCTAAAAATCTTTTTAGAAGAGTCATTGTTATGCTACTGACAAAGATTGCCCCGTTTGCCTGATAAATAAAGTGGGCTTATGCGGGTTTGAAAGGGGATATTTACTCCTCCCAGGCACCAGATCCCACTTCTTGTGTTTTCCGGGTCTTTGGTTTTGCGCTCTTTACCATCCGCATCTTCTCTTTTTTTTTACCCGTATATATCCCTCAATATCAAGACGCAGACAGTCATTTTCACCAAATAATTAACTCAAACACTATGCATAAACGCATTGCAGTCTACAAATACAAAATGTGATATCATATCGCTGTCTAAGATTATACAACTCTAAAAGGTCTCAAGGGTTTATTATTGAAGTAACAGTAACCTTGTACCTGCAATGTGCAGCAATGTGTTGAAACACAGCACCTATAATTTTTGCCGAACACAACCATCTAAATTTCATATGTGCGTGATCCTTATTATACCCATATTTTGACACAGCTTTCGTTGTTTTCATTACTGAAAAAAGATGATGAATAGACCATTGATCAAAGTCTGTAGTGAATTGTTATGGGTTCTCTTAACCATAGTTTAATATTTATATAGCACACGCCTTTTTTCAATCAAATACAATATGTTTAAGTACAATAATTGTTACCTTTCTCTAGTTTAGATGGACTCAGTATAAATGAATATAGTGATTTAAATGATATACACATGTAGTGGAATTTTCTCATGCAAGCATTACAGAGATAAAAGACTTTCATATCTCTCAAACATATCGGTTTGACAAAATGAGATATCCTCCATGACACCTGATCCCACCTCTGATGTCTTAGATGTCCGTGTTTGCTCTACTCCTAATTTGTCATGTTTAATGGACTTTTGAGCTAGAATACTGTTCGTTATCTCCACATATTTCATCCTGCAAATTCCCTGAGACCTGAGATTGGACTTTTTAAAACTGAGTTCTTTTCATTAGAGTCGTGCCCTTTTTATTTTCCTCGAGTATCTCTCAAGATAATGTCCGCTACTGCACTATGCATCGCCAAAAATAATATTTGGATTGCTTTTGTCATATTTTACAACTGCAGAAGATAATAAGATCAAAACAGGTAGAAAATTTAGTCTGAAACAAAGTTTCGACTCCCTTAAATCCGCTATTACCGCATACGTTTGAAAAGAGTCTTCAATATTTTTTTTCGTATGTCCTATCTCAAGTATATTGGTACTACCATACACATTGTTTACATTATATCAACAGAAGTCACATATTGGAATTGGATCCCCCCCCCCCCAATAATGTCATTTCCGCTAAGGTCACAACCCTAGGACGTGTTTTTCAAAATGGTGCCGTGTAAACATTGATTCTTTGAATGAGATGCAAACATTCAATAAAGGCATGATTTTTCTAAGCTGTTAGTTCAATTGAAAAAAAAATATAACTAAGTTATGACTTACGAAATGAAACAGTATTTCAAATTTACAAAACAGACACGATCAAATTAAAATAACGACTCATGGACCTCCGAGGATACTAGACTACAAGAAATCAAACTAGGTGTCACGAGATGAAGGTTGTGATGTTTTCATAACGAATAACAGATAGATAACATAACAAAAATATGTTCAATCTCTTACAATTACTAATGTACACCATTGACTAACAATAATGGAATGCAAATATTAAAATATTTTCGCCTTTAGTCAAGATTTTGTTGGTAAATAGCTCAAAGAGTTAAATTATTCTTATCAATGTTTTATTTGTTCACTCATAGAATAATTTGAATAAATGAAAATGATTTTCCAAAAGAAATCTTAGTTACAATTGAAATGTTTAACAATATCAGCAAACCACAAAGTGCAAAATTTAACAGAAACTGTCTTTTTACTTGACAATTTTTAAGGGAATAATAATATTTAATACCTGTCAAAGTTATCTCTCTTATCAGAGAGTCAGTAAGAGTTATCTCTCAAATCAGAGGGTCAATGAACCTGAAACTTTTCAAATTTTCAGTAATGTGGCTGTAAAGTCTTTGGTCTTACTTAAGTGCAAATTACTCATCATGTTGAAATTTGAATAATTAAATTCTGGATCTAACGCGACATTTGATTAGCTAGAAAATGCTTTATATTGTATAAACTGTGTTGTCTATGTTACACAAAAAATTTTGTTCAAAAAATTTTGTACAATTTGGAAGTCATTTTTAAAGGGCAAAAGTCTTATAATAAATGATTAAAATAAAATTATAAGGAATGAATATAATAGCTATCCTGTTCGTACGGTATAAACTGGGTTGGAACACTTAAAGTTTTTTTTTTTTATAAAATCCATGATCTTGTTAGCAATTACAACTTATTATGTCTCACTATGATTATTCTATATAACACTTCATCAGAGTGGTTTTTGACAGTCATGTGAACAGGAAAATAAAACGTCATATTTTTCCGTCATCGTCATATTTTCCTCTCAAATTTCCCTTTGGTGAAACTAATTATTTTTTGTTATCATTATATCTGTGACACTTGTTACTCCTGGTAATTAATTTTTGTCAAAATTTATCTGTGACAAAAAAAATTAATGTGTTCAGAAATACATATGAATTTTAGTTTCTATATCTTATTGTGTGTTGTAGAAAATCACAGGTTGATATTGTTTCAGTATAATAATCATTAGGTCAAATGATGACTGACGTTTTTCATACTTATTGTTAGGCCATCAGTTACACACTGACTTATCTTCGGATTTTTCCGTTTTTCAAGATCATGACAAGGAGCACACGGAGGGTGTGACCGGCAGGCAATGCTTCCTTCTCCATGGCACAAGATCCCGCCTCTGATGTTTTGGAGGTCCGTGTTTGCTCTGCTCCCGATTTGTATTGTTTGATGGACTTTGTGTTTGAACACTGTTTGTTATCTCGAAATTTCATGAAAAAGGTGAAGATAACGAACAGTGAAAACAAATCTACAAACAATACAAATCTGAGAACAGGGCATAAATCATGGATCCTCGGACATTCCAAAAATGGAATCATGTGCCTAGGAGGTGTAAGCATCCCCAGTCGACCGGTCACACCCGCTGTGAGCTCTTAATATTGACCAGGTAGACAGAATATTCCATAGTCAAATTTAGTATGAGAACAAAGGCCCAACAATTAGTATGAAACAGGTCAGCTAAAATACGACCCAGCGAAAGGTTATACATTTGCTTGCAATGTCATTATAACGACCATAGAATTTACAAATGCTGTCTTTAAGCAAGGCTGTTGAAATCCCTGTTATATTAACTTATATGTCAGAAGTCTGTCTCGGTTTAAAAATTGATCGTTCTCATAGCGTGCTTTTGAATGTCGAATAACTTGGGAGACATAAACACCGTATGCATGTGATAGCAGAATATCACTACATTTAAAAGGAATGTTGACGATGGAGAAGTTGAAGTCATCTCATTTGTCATACAATTAAATTGTTACCTGGCCATTGTCGTCCATAGTCAGTAAAACCAGTGAAGTATAACAAGCAATTTTATTGCATAATAGTGAGGGATATATATGAAAATCTTTTTACCCAGGAAGAGACATATTCCCCACGAGCAATGCCCTTGGGGAATATAATTTTTCTTTGTTGAATACTGTAAAATCACATATTTTCTTGGGGTCAAATTTTCGAGGTTCAAGGAAAAATAATTGGTTCATGTAGATTTGATTTGGTTAGAGAATAAGTGCTGAATTGGTATATGTTTGATATTTTATATTCCGTGGAGGACATTAATTCCAGGGTCTCTTTATACCATGAAAACAACGAAAATTAAACACACACGAAAATTAGTAATTTCACAGTAGAACATATCTCACTCACTTTCATGCAATTAATGTATATTGTTCTTTCTTTTTTTTTTACCAACATGAATCATACTTATTGCTCGGCAATTGTTTTATACCTAATTTGACTCTGAATTACTCCGTCCTTCTGATCAATACAGAGGGCTGAAAGCGAGTGTGGCCATCAACAGGGGTTGGTTATTCCTTCTTAGTACATGTGTACCTAATTTCACCTCTAATGTTTCCATGGGTCCACGTTTCTTCCTGTTTACGATTTGTATTGTCAACAGGACTCATGAGATTGTTCATCGCTCATTATTTTAATTTAACCGAAATTAAGCAGATTAGAAAATACGAAATCGAATGTGCCTAGAAAAGAATGAGATGTGAAAAGAAAAAGAACATATGCTCAAAGAAGATTAAAATGCAGTAACATTTTTGAAAGGCTGAAAAAAGCTAAAATGGATCTCAAAAAACTACTTTAGAAATTGTTGTAATAAAAAAAAAGAAGGATTGGAAATATTAATCGTATGGAACGCAAGGAAAAATTAGCATTGGATGTTGAGAACATGATTAGAAACATGTAGTACGAAGACAAAAATGAAAAAAGAATTTTAGGGTAAGTAGGCTGTAAATTATGATAAAAAGTCCGAAGAGCAACGGAAAAATAATGCGAATTTTCGTTCTACACGAAGGTAATTCAGAAATACCTGGCCGTGTTTAAAACAGTCAACTATATCCAGGTTACCTTGCCAAAGATGTTTAAATTTAGGTGTAAGCATAGAGTTGAAACAGTGTCGTTGCGACTGGCAAATATGTGTGCTTGATGTCTTACTAGCAAACCTGTCACCATGCGTTGCACAGATTTGTTCAATACATTATTTTGATTAAGAAAACTTTTGGACCTTTCTAGCAGAAATATTGTTTAAAAACTAGAAAAATGACTGATATTCATACATGTACTAAAGAAAAGTCTTTAAACCTAAGTCCAATTCTTTGAATATATTAAAATGAATATAAATCCAATGGAATTTAAAAAAGACAATATAATGTCAATGAATGAAAGGAATTTGTTTGTTTTTGACATGCAAAGTTGTAACAAGTAAAAATTTCAACATAACTAGTATTTGCTTTGATATGCTTATCTTGTTTTAGAAATTATAAATATTATCAATTAAATATAAAGATAACAAACATAAGTCAAACTCAAATTTCTTATTTAACATTACGAATTGAAAGCACAGAAAATACGGACCCCCTGAATACATCAGAAGTAGGATCAGGTTCAGTGGAGGAGTAAGCATCCCCCATCGGTGTGGATATGACAAAATTTTACATATACAAGATTGCTTTGGTGCAATATGGTTCTCAAAATTAGTTTCAACTTCTTTTTAAAAATATCTGTGAGCCGCCAGAAAATTTATTTGGCCGCCATATAATTTTCTGGCGACCGCCAGATACATGTATATAGATCTAGCGGCCGCCAGAAGATGAACTGGCGGCCTCCATATAATTTATGGCGGCCGCCAGATAATTTTTTTTGCGGCCGCCTGATAATTTTCTGGCGGCCGCCAGAAAATTATATGACGACCGCCAGATATTTTTCTTGCGCCCGACAGTTAGTTATATGGCGGCCGTCAGATAAAATATTTTTCTACTTGGCACCTACCGGCTTCCATAGATTTCAACCTCATTTTTAATGATTTTACCATTTACATTGAGATTTTTGTACATAAATTTTCTCTTTTCTTTGCAATAATATACTGAACACTTGCCTGCATCTACCAATTAATGACAATTAGTTGCTCAAGTGTATTTAAGTTCCATTTTGTCATTACTTGAGTTGGAGACTCTTTTATCTTCAGCATAATTTTACAACTCATATTCTGATAGAAATTCATCAATAATTTAATATCGTCATAGTACATTTACCGCATCAAATAATTTTTTTTAATCTTTCTTAGTAATTTTCACTTTCTCTTTTGATAGAGGAGTTGAATTCTAAGAGGGAAAAAAAGAACATAGGTCTTCTCTTATTCAACATGATTTTTTTGTCACTATTAATCTATATTTCTATATTAATGATAAAAAGCATAGAAAACCTAATCAAAGTGTAAAGCCAAGGTGTTGGATTTTATACAAAGGTATGGAAGTTTATTTGCATACTAAACAGCATTATGTACCAAAAATCAAAAACAAGCTTGAGCTTGAAGGAACTGGGAGGGGGGATGTAACAGGAATATAATTTATCAGTATATAATTTAATTTGGAAAACAAAGCTATAAATTTACAGTTGTGCACCCTCGGTACAATTTGGCCAGTTTATACTATAACAAATGAAAAAGTTCGTTTTGTTTTGCTTTGTTATTGCATGTCAAGAATCCCCGTTTTGTACTGTTTTGCTTGCCAAGAACCCCCCTCCCCCCCCCCCCCAAAAAAAAAAGAAATAAAAAATGAATCTGCTTCCTACGTGCCTGAAATAATCTAAATGGATGTTAATATGTACAAGTACCGCTATTGAAGGGAAGTAACCTGCATTATAATTATTGTTACCTGGCAACAGGAAGCGTTCAGTATTCACCACTTTCACCAAAGATTTTTCGGTATCTGTGTGTATTTTATTTGCATGTTTATCGATATGTAGAGGAGGGAGTATAAACTGTTGATTATTCATTCTATAAAATAGTTGCTAAAAAGAGTTTAAAACAAATTGAGATTCTAAAATTATTAATCTGTTCATACTCTGAAAGGAATAATACTGCAACATTATGAATCCTTCGATCAGTTAATCAACTGAAAGACAAACACAACCTACATGTTTTGGGAAAAGATGAGAAATTATCATGAAAATGAAATCATTTAGACTCTAAATTGTGTTGTATCCTAAATTTATGGAGATAATACTAGTAATACATGGTTTAGGGTTTACTTTAATGAGGTCATAGAAATAAGATTAATTTAATTTTATTTCTATGATCTCATCAAAGTAAAAGTTGCTTATACCGACTCTAAACAATGTATTACTAGTATTGAATTGATTCAAATAAAACTTGAAACTGATGTAATATTTAGCATGTGGCGAATAACTCTATTTAAGCTATTTTAATGTGTCATTTAATCGACCAATCAAACCACAATTGTACAACTGTGTTAGAAACTTCTAGGAGTTAGTGTGCTTTCGGGTTATTTCCCTCCTTCTACCGTGCAACCAAAGTAAAATGAACTTATTCTAGTATGGTCTCGCTCAGCCAGCAGGAAGTAGACATGCAGTGGGATGAACACTATTCAAGGCTCTTTGTACAACCCGTTGCACCCTTCTCAACAGATTTACGACAGGTGAATTATGCACTGGACTATTCTTAGGCGCTTATATTATAAGGTTAATTTTGATACCAGTGTGAGAAAAATAAGTAAGTTCAAATATATAACAATTTTTATTTAAAAAACTAATAAGTTTGAATTTTTTTCTTTTAGTCTTTGCTTTTACAATGAATAAAACAATAAAATTTATTATTCATAACATTTCATCAGCTTCTTTCCATAGGAAATTTGCTCTATCTTTTTCTTTTCTCAACACTTCTAGTTAGGCATGTCCCAAAATTGCAGCAAATTCTTTCATGCAGTAATTTCCAATAATGTGTTCAATTATTACTTTTTCCAGCAGTTCATTATCCTTTTTTGAATGAATCCCCTGAGATTCATTCATTTATATGAGATGAATTTATCGTTGATTAGGTCTGTCACTTGTTATTTTATGAATATGCACCGTAGATCTTTTCAGTGGTTCATTAGAGACTAAGAGCACCAAAGGAGGCATTCGTTCATACTGTCTAATACCCTTTTCTTTAAGAACTGAAATATTGTTTAACATGTTCAAATAATAAAAGAAATTAAATTAATAAGTATTCATCGTAGATCCTGTGAGTTGTTCTGAGATAAAGAAATGTTCCCAGTCTTCTGATGACAGAGAATTCTGGATATTCCCAGAAAAGGTTTATCCCGATCATATTGACAAGGAGCACACGGCGGGTGTGACCGGTCGGCAGGAATTGCTCACTCCTCCATGGCACCTGATCCCATCTGATGTTTTTGGAGGTCCGTCTTTGCTCTGCTCCCGATTTGTATTGTTTTAATGGACTTTGAGCTTGAATACTGTTCGTTATCTCCATATTTCATATGGCTCGTCTGACAAATGAATTCTTGCAAAGCTACAGCATTTAGTCCTGTCTTGACCATCTAAATTGCCAGATTTAAACCCTTTTAGTGTACATTGGACTAAATGGATAGGCATGTCCGTCAAAGACAACTGCATCCCAAGACTTTGCAATAGCTGATCCAAGCTTTACAATTAGATTGGGATAGTATTCTAATACAGTTTTAAATATACCCATTTGCGTCCATGGGATGGCGTTTTAAGCTACCATTGCTGTGTGTAGGGTGTATACCAGATATTGATCTTTAATGACTTTTAACTCTCTATGATTGTAAAATTCTTCAATAATTATTTTCTTTAGATTGTGCCACTAAAATTTAACTATGTATTTCTTTTTTTTAACAGTATATATATATATATATATATATATATATATATATATATATATATATATATATATATATATATATATATATATATATATATATATATATATATATATATATATATATATATATATATTAAGGATGGCAATCGATTGCAGAGTTGTTAATCGGTTAACCGCAAGATGTTCCGACCGATTAACCGGTTAATCGTATCAAAATGCACGTTGTTGTTGTTTTTTTTGACAATTCATTGTTCTTCAAGTAGCCCTGTCCATATACACAAATAGACCCAAATAAGACGATAGAAGTTAAAACATTCCATTAGTCTTGATTCTGGATCAGAAAACTATGGCTACATATTTTTTATTTAAATTCCAGTAGACAAGAAAAAATTGAGACAACCATGAAAAAAACCTAAGAAATCTTTGATAATTTTCCAGAGCAGATATCACAAAAGTTCTTTCTGCATTTTCACTATGATAATCAAAATTATAAGTAAACTCTATAGCCCTTAATTTACAATGTTTTTTAAATAATTAGATTGGATTGAAAACTGAAAAACGACAAACACGCCAATTCACAGATGGTGTTTTCAGAGTAATTAACACTACATAAACTGACCAATTACGCAACTGTCGTATTACATGTACGTCTAAATTAGATCCGTTAAATCATAAATGATCATCCTTTGTGCAGAGATTTTTTTTCTAAACAATTTTTTAAGAAATGTGTTCAATTCAACAAATATTTTTTTTCCCGATTAACCGATTACAGATTTTCTAACCGATTGCCTTCGTTCCGACCGAGTATTCGGTTAACCGGTTACAAATTGTCATCCCTTATATATATATATATATATATATATATATATATATATATATATATATATATATATATATATATATATATCATATCTATATATCTGTCTCTCTATCTCTCTATTTCTCTTTCTGATTTTTTTAAGTACAAGTAGAATTCTTCTATTAAACAAAATAGGGAAAAAATTATTATCATATTATATAATATATTGAAGTTCATTTTTTTATCTTTAGGACTTAAATGCTATTTTTATTTCTGTCGATAAAACCTAGGCAATACAAAAGCGGGTGAGTGGAGCTGTGCGTTTTAACAGAACGTGGGCGGAGCCAAGAGGGGTATCGGGAACCCTCATGATTCATATTGGATCGGTAGATACTTATTTACATCCGTTAAAATCTTATGCTATTTTCATTGCAATGTTCATTTGTTTGAACATATTTATATGTCAAGGAATGCACATATAGTTAGGTATGTTAAATTTACATAATCACAATTCATGGTATATTTATCGTATCTACCCCCCTCCCCCATCTAAAACTTTAAAAGATTGCACGTTTTTCACTCACTAGTAACATATTCTCATAAATGTTAAGCTCTATTTAGTTGTATTACCTTTCAACAATCCTCGAATAAACATATTGTGCTGAATTAATGCTCTATGTAAGCCTGTAATAATATTTTGAAGGAAATAAAGTGATTCACCAGCTGACCAAGGAAAGAAACTCTTCTCTTTATGTTTCCATTACATTACGAAATGGTACAACTTTGTATGAACTATATCATCAGTTTTCCATTTCTGATTCAACGGACAACTACAAGCTTTTTCTTGGAGGACCAGCTACCGGAACCTTAGGTAAGTAATAGGTAAAATGTGTGACTATCAAAGTGCAGGAAAAGATGAGAGAGAGAGAGAGAGAGAGAGAGAGAGAGAGAGAGAGAGAGAGGGAGAGAGAGAGTAAAAATTAGGCATGCTAGTTGTCAGGCAGATCATTCACAATTCTTACTTGCAAAATGCATGTAATCTCTGTCTTTTTTTAAACGAAAATAGAATAGAATGGAATAAATATGGAGATAACGAACAGTATTCAAGCTCAAAAGTCTATTAAACATTACAAAATAGGCGCAGAGCAAACACGAACCTCCAAAACATCAAAGGTGGGATCAGGTGCAATGTTTTTTAGATGATCTTTTTTCCGTCAATTTATAGGCTGCACTATAGTATAATATTGTGCTTAGATATTCTTACCGAAAATGCACAAATTTGAGTAGCCAGTCTTTGGAAGGTTTCTTTTTCAGGTCTTGTAAAGCAGTTCTTATTAAATATTTTAGCGGAAAAAAGCCATCCCGCAAGGCACACAATTTATTCCAGGCAAAGTCGAGCCGTTGCTTGAAAATCAAGAGCCTAATGACTTCCCATCAAATACAGTATACAAAAAAAAAAAAAAAAAAAAAAAAAAAAAAAATCAGAAAGCCTTAAAAGAGATAATACATGCGCAGTTTATTGTTGTTAAGTGAATGATTGTCAAATTTTTGTTTTTATACAGTCTGGATTGGGTATTTCGAATCATCTTTTGCACTTTGACTACCAACGTTTTGATGAACAATTCTATACTTGGTTGTTTAGTATCAAAAGAAAGCAATTTCTTTGAAAGATTAGATCTACATTACAAGGCAAGTCAATCTTCTATATAGTGGCCTTGAAGGGAGGTTATATTTACATCATATTTTACTGTTTTGCGGGCGAATTCCAGGTATTTTGAATCACCGGGTAAACAGATAAAACACAACCAGTTGAAAACATTATAATTAATAATTTGTTTGGTTATGTTTACCAAAAGTCTCCCAAAATAAATTTTTTTCTTATTCATTTTCCTCGTATTTAAAAATTATTCAAAACCCCCAAATCTAAGACATCGATCAGAAAAAAAACGCAACGTTCTCTATACGGGAATTTCTTACATAAGGAAAGCAAGTTGGGGAATTATATTTTTCCCCTAAATGACACATTATGCTAACCTCTTTATATTATGAAATTTATTTAGTATTTCCTATGCTTTTAATGACTGTTTGGTTGACGTACAAATTTATCGTGCGAGGTAAACGGATAAGGTGAATTACCGAAACGTAGGTGATTCGGAATACCTTAAATGACTCTATAAGAGTTTTATCGGCCCATTTTTAATGATATATATATATATATATATATATATATATATATATATATATATATATATATATATATATATATATATATATATATATATACTTAACAAACCGTCAAAGATTTTCTTTAAAAAATATATAAACATTGTTGTCATGACATGACATAACGCTCAATAAGATTATATAAAAAAAAAGGATAATCAAGGACGTTAAAGAATAGTTGATGTGATTTCAAAGCTCCCAGAATTTGTTTAAACACTTCTGTTTTTAGGCAAAATTAATTTTAACAATTTTAAATTTTAATCATAATAGGGATGTGAATTAAATACTTATGAAAAAAGAGTTTCTTGATTTCTACAGGTGACATGATGCTTCACGCTGGTAATTCTGCTCGTGATCAGTCTGGGATGTCATTTAGTACCCCGGACAAAGATAACTACGGGTATAGTGGATTTAACTGTGCTGCTTATTGGAAAGGAGGCTGGTGGTTTAACGTCTGTCATAAAGCTTACCTCACTGGTCCCTGGAATTCAAATGACTGGTTCAATCCTTGGTCTCCTATAGTTACATCTGAAGGAGACATTGATGATGATTAAGCCTCATTAAGTGTCTGCTTTTGTCCATTTTCAGTTTTTTTTTTTGTTAAATTCTTTGTTTGTAAAAAATATTAAAAAAAAAACAAAAAAAACAAAACAAAACAAAACAAAACAAAACGAAAAAAAAAAAAACCACACACACACACACACACACACACACACACACACACACACACACACACACACACACACAAAAAAAAGTAGTTTATTGAAAAAATATATATTTTAAAATACCTTATTTCGTCCATTATATGAGATTATTAGATAACGAATATGCAAAGGCAGATAATAACATGGTAAATGAATGAAGTTCCGTTTTTCTATTACCATCCTGAGGGTCTTGTCGATATTACGTTCTTATATAACTGATGTTCTCATCTGAATATGTAATTAGGGTGAATTTACCATGCATCAGACACCCTTGTACTTCAACAAGGTCTAGCGATATCGCTATTGACCGAATACTATCAAAATAGAGCTTAACATTTAGTATGTGATTAAAATATGAATTTGAGACACAATTGTATGCTATTTATTGAGAAAATATAACTGAAAACCGATTTTTTTCAAATGACTCGGAATTCACCATGGATCGGACAATATTTACCATGCATCAGACAAACGGTATTTGAACAGGGAAAAATCCTACTTTTATCACGGTGCTTTAAAATTATTGATGGAAATACTTTTATCTTTTATTGAAAAATTAACCTTCAAATTAAATTTAATAGACCATATCATTGCACAAATATGGAGAGGTTTTAGTTGCCTTACATTGCCTTAGAAAGGCTTTAAAATGCTAATTATACGTCAATTCGCACCTTTGTCTCGTGGGTTATTATACTCTGGTTTGTAGAAATGAATGGAGTCTAATTTCAGACATCATATATTGATAACTGATATTTTCCCTGAAAGTTTAGAGTTTTTATTTTCTATTTCCGCAGAAAACAGCTGTCAGTTGGGTTTAGTATGAAAATGGAAGTGATTACTCATACATCGGAATGTGTCCGATGCATGGTTAATTTGTGTCCGATGTACGGTGAAATGAACATACTAGTAAAATCCAACTCTAAAAAAAATATACAAACAGTGAAATTTCTTAAAAGTTCTGTAAAATTACTAATCATTGACAAATTATACCTTAGTCCGATTCGTTCTGAAGTCTAATTAAAAGAACGACAACTCTAAAAATCTGCAAAATTGTAAAATTCTGGTCACTCCCCTTTGATGATGTAAAATATGACGTAACTTCAAGGCCATTCTCGGATTCTTTTAATCACAACACGATAAAAAAAATCGACATCAATAAAAAGTTTAAATCTTCAGCTTCAAGACAGAAACAAGTAAAAACACGGGAACATTCAGGTTTAAAGAAAGTTTACTGCTTAAAGTTGTCCGAAGCAAGGTATGTGTCCGGTGCATAGTTAACTCACCCTATGGTTTTTTTTTCTAATAATATATATAAAGTAATCAAATTACAAAGAAAGTTTGCTTATATATGATATTTTCGACGAATTCTAAAATGACATTCCCAGTTAAAGCGTACAGTCAGGGAGAGACACTTAGTGTAATAAATTCACTATCAAAACTGGTATTACGCGGGTTGTCCCAGAAAAAAAAATGCGAATTTTAAAAATATTTCAGAAACTATTCGACCATAACTTATAATTTTGCACGTTCTTGGAAAATGACATTCTCGGTTTTTTTTTTTTTTTTTTTTTTTTTTTTTTTTTTTTTTTTTTTACAAAATATTTTAGACATGTGATGTCATGAGTATATTAAAAAAGCATTTAAAGTGTGTTAAATATCGGTGGCCGGCGCAAGGCATTTTTTTTTTACTTTTATAAGTAGCATTGTCAATGAAGTTTTCTTTATTACCAGGCTATATGGAAATATAATGTCACAAAATTTACTTCCATAAATACCCTTTGATCTGGTGTACTCGTATTTGAAAATTCATTAATAAGACATCATTAATGACAAAAATATGACGTTATATACCAAAACACTTAATTAGATATTGCCAAAAATGGTGACGTTTGGCGATAATGTGAAGCACGAAATTATTAAGCAGTACTTTGTTGAGAGGGATATGACTCCTATGAATACGATAAAAGAGATGTTAACGATGGAAAAACAGAAACATAAATTTCGGACACAGGTTTATCCCTAGTTAAAGAGGTTTGAGGATGGCTTGACTGGTTATCCGATAGAAGAGGCGTTTTGTAGACCAACAAAAATGAAAAACTGAAAGTCAGGAGCTGGACGTCATACGCCTAAGTGAAGGCCGCCGTTAAACAATGGGAACTGTTAGGTTTAATATCGGGATTGAGAAATTGTCGTTTAAAAGAAACAAATTCCGGAATTCTTTTGGTAACACTAGTATTTGAGATGTATAACTTGGTAAATAACAGAAAATTAAATGCAGTGCCGAATTTATGCTTAAACAAATTTTATCAGAAGCACATTTCCAGAACAAATTCACAAACGCCACGATACGTTTTGACGTCGTCAGTGTTGCGCCGACAACGGATTTGTTACATCCGTTTACCTGAGAGGGAAATGTTATTTATAGAGACATTTCATGCATTATTCAAAAAATGTTGATCATGATGTATGCCAATTTTTAATTTTAGAGTATTAGTGAAACAAAAGATATTGAAAATGTTCGCATATTTCTGGGACAACTCTCGTATTATTTAAACTCAAACTTTATTCTTTGAGAGTTTACCAATGAAGTTGAGAATAATGTTTTCGTCTGTGTGTCCATCTGTCTGTCAACAACGTGCCTAAATGATTGTTAACTGATCATTAAACTAAAAAAAAAACCTCAGGATCAAAATAATAAAGAACACATTCTTATAAAATTGTTAGAGAATATATGACTATAGTATACTTTCATGTAAATAAGTTGAATCTGATTCGAGAAACATTTGGTAAAAAACACTATTACCTTCTGAATGATGGAACCACGCCCTCCAACGTAGAAACGGTCAATATTGCATGACGACGGGTAATATTCCAAAATATATTGACTGCCCAGAATTTATGCTCGTACGGTTCAGTGTTATATTTATTTGTATAAAACATTCAGTATAATATGATAAATACAGCATGTAGTTGAAGGTAACATTGATATTTTGCACTCCTCGAAAACCATTGTCAACCTCGGCTGCGCCTCGGGGTGAAAATTTTCAATGATACCCTCAACTACATTGTACATGCAGTTTATACATAATATCACATGTTTAACACTTCATCCTATGGATATCACTCATTGTATAATTTGTTTATTATCCCACTACTGTTACGTCACAAAGGGTTTTGCTTGAAAATGATGAAGTAAATTGTGATAATCATATATAAAAACAGTGTAAAACTTTGAAGGTAATGTATAAAACGTGATAAAAGAATCTCCTAGGATTTGTGGTAGGATATGATTTTTATCCAACTACAAATCATGGAAGATCCTATATGTATATCATGAACAAATATTTTACCTTTACAACGGAGTTTGAATAAAAAAAAATGCAAATTCATTAATTCTAATTTCTTGGAATTGTTTTGATGCGACAACATATTACCTTGAGTTCATTAACATTGGAAATTTTGCAAGAAACATAAAAACTGACTGAGGGCTTAGAATCGTTTAAATTTATGTCCTTCTATTCTTTTGCATGATTTTTTGCTTTAACGCTAATTATATTCGGAAAAAAAATCATATTGTAATGTACAAATTTTCAGTAAAATTTAAGGTGGAAAGTTGAGAGTTGACTCATTTATTATAGGGTCGATAAACCTTGACTGACAGGAAATCTTCTTTTTTTTTAAATTTACAATTGGTACTCGTGCTAGGCAGTTTTTTTAATTGACAATAAGTACCAATTGCGCCCCTTTATTAGCAGACCTATTTTTTGTATTCATATCAAGCAGAATTTATTCAGAAAGTCTACATGAGAATGAGAAAATACTTGCTGTGGCCTTCAACTCGACATTTAGATTTATCCATGACGTATTATCAATTAACAACAATTACTTCCATTCATATGTCGACTCGATATATCCCAGTGAGCTTGAAATATAAGGGATACCACAGAGTCTTACACATCTGACACATCTGTTTCATATTTGGATATTTAACTAGAAAAAGACTTTAATGGTTACTTAACAACAAAGATTGATTATAAACGTGATGAATTCAATTATTCAATCGTTAACTTCCCTTACGTATGTAGCATTAAACATCCTTATCTTCTGCATATTGGGTTATTGTCTCCCAGTTGATTCGATACGCAAGAGCATGCTCTTCGTATGAACAATTTCTAAAACAAGGCAAGCTATTGACAAACAAGATGATGAAACAAAAATATCAACAGTCTCGTTTGAAGTCATCGATACAATGACCTCGTCAGCAAATAAAACCTTTCATTTCAGACATATGTTGAATGACATTTTGTTATGAAATATGTGGAGATGTGGAGAAAAGTATTCAAGCTCAAACGTCCATTAAACATTACAAATTAGGAGCAGCGCAAACACGGACCTCTAAAACATCAGAGGTGGGATCATATGCCATGGAGAAGTGAGCATCCCCTGTCGACTGGTCACACCAGCCGTGTGCTCCTTGTCATGATCAGGAAATAAAGTAAATAAGTAAATTTACGAGTTCCATTTTTATTGAAAAAAACCCAGCTGTCAATGATATTAAAAAGTCTGGACTTTAATTTATTGTTGGGAATGGTTGTGTATAAAGTTGAAAAGACGTAAGTTCTTAAGCTGTTGATTTTGGTAAAATCTTGTGATTTCAATTTTACAAAAGTTCCTTGGAATGTTTATGTATCCACATCTGATTTACACCACTTCTCGAATATATTGTTGCACGGTACTCTTGAAGTTTCTCCTTCACTGCTGCTTATATCTTAGTGAGGAGTAAAGAAAGAGGCTTGGTAGAACATTTACTGGAACCCGCTATGTATCTTTGTTTGTAAGGATTTTTATGA